GCGCGGGAATTCAAATCCTCGTCCCTCCTAGCAACTTTTTTTTGAAAATTTTTCGCTTTTAACGGCATTTTTCGGGGATTTCGGATTTTTTTTCGAATTTTTTCGCTATAATATTAGGAAAATAGACAATTGTTCAAACATTTTAATGCAATAAAAATTTTTGGTCAGAGTCCCCCTTGAAATTTTAATTTTCACGAAAATTCCAGAAAATTTTAAAAATTCTGAAAATTTTAAATTTCAAAAAAAGTGAATTTTCGAAAAATTTCTGAGAATTTTGAAGAAAAAATCTGTAATTTTCTCAATTTTCATCATTGAAAAAATGCAAATTCGCTCCATGGACAACACTAAAAAATTTTTATTTCACAATTGTTTCGAAAAATCGATATTATCCAGCAACGACACCTTGAAGTCTCATCATCTTATTACTTCCTCCTCCTCTCTTCATTTTCTCCGTAACCGGTGCCAGTGTAGTTGTCGATGACATACACGGAACTACCGTACTCTGGTACTGTACTGGATATCTTCTTTGTGCGTATTGTTTTGCACTCGAAACACACATTGAATCCTGACAGTCCGCCGTTTTCGCTGCCAATACGGTGTCCACTGGAGTTAGGCAGTTCACCAGCTTGTTGACGGCTTTCTGGAACATTCTAGGGGGTTTTAGAGCATTTTTGGCGTTTCAAACATGTTTTGATCGCTAAAAATTAGGATTTTTGACTAAATTTGACCTAGAACCCACCTTTTGACATAAAAATGCTCGAAATTCAGGGTTATTGACCTTCAAATTCACTAAAATAATTTTTTCTGCAAATCCTTGTTATTTCTAAACCTATTTTTGGACTATTTTCATGTTTTTTCATGTACAAACCATATTTTGATGTACTAATTTTTCTGTTTTCTTTTTGTATTTTTCAATGTTCTGGCTGATTTGTTGATTGGAATTGATAAGACACCTTTTGCTGTCTGGGGGAATCCCCATGATGATGATGACAACGAACTTGGCGAAAGGAAAGGAATCGTCAGAATTCAATGATAAGGAAATGGAATTTTAAGAAAAACCTGTTCTCTGAATTTGAAAAAGATGGAAATACATGTGAAACACATACTTGGAAATGGTCCTAGAACGGGTCGCAAATTGGCTGAAAATGGACCATAAACGGGCGAAAAAACGTTCCAAAAAGCGCAGAAGACAGATTAAAAACCGACCTAAAACAGACCAAAAACAGCTCAAGAACAGCCCAAGAACAGACCAACAATAGACCGAAATCTGACCAAAGGCTGCTCAAAGACGGACCCTGCCCTAGCTTCCTTCGGAATCTGTATTTTTGAACCTATCTAAATGGACACGGTAGAAGAACTCAAGAGCTACAAAATGATACTACTTGGAGTACTGTATCTCGCCGCTGACCAAAGTTACAGGCCAAAACAAATAGTAAGGCGAGCCAAAACGGGACAAAAACGTGCCTCAAATATGGCCTGTCATAGTTTCCTTCATAATCATTGTTTTTGGACCATTGAAAATGGATATGATAGAAGAACTCGAGAGCTACAACATGGTAGTACCAGGAGTACTGTATCTTGTCTATTAGCAAAGTTACAAGCCACACACATGCCTAAGAAGAGCCGAAAACAGGCAGAATACAGGCCAAGAACGGACCCCCATAGATCCTTTTAGGATCAGCATTTTCGGACCAAGCAAATTGGATATGATGGAACAGTTCAATCGCTACAAAATGATACTAGTTGGAGTACTGTAGCTTTTCTATGAACGAAGTTATAGGTCCTGAACCGTTTCAACTACGCGGTCGCAATCTTATGGGATCTAACTTTGTTCATAGATAAGACACAGTATCCCAAGTAATATCATTTTTTAGAATTCGTCGAGTTCTATCATATCTATTTTAGTTGGTTCAAAGTTCTGATTCTAAAAGAAACTATGACAATTTTCCCCCAATTTTCAAATTCCTCCTACCTTCGTCGTTTTGGAGAACTTTGGTGCCCGGGTAGCTGCCTCTACATCAACCAAGAACATTGTCATAATCACAAAAAACGCCAAAAAAGTGGCAAAAATCGAATTTCGCGGCATTTTCGCTGGCCGAAATATGAGATATGTGTGACCTCACTAACCAACAACTATAATCCTCGAATGCATTTTGGGCGGACGAACCGCAAAAAAAAAGAGTTTAATCCTCTTTTCATGACAGAGAGAAATCCGATTTCATAGAGACGAAGAAGAGTTTTGGGAAACATGAACCAAAATTGAACAAAAAATAAGGAAAAAATGGATCGAAAAGAGAGCTCAAAATGGCTTGAATTTGCGTTCAAAATGGCTCAAAATTGGTCGAAAATAACGCGAAATCAGTCCAAACTGGGATAAAATGAGTCCAAAATGGCTCAAAATGCTTCCAGAATAACTCATAATGAGTCAAAAATGGCTTGAAATGGCCCAAAGTGACTCTAAATAACTTAAAATGAGTCTGAAATTGCTGAAAATGAGTCAAAAATGACTCTAAATGGCTCTAAATGAGTCTAAAGCAGCGTAAAATAAGTTTAAAATGGCTCAAAATAGTCCAAAATGGTTAGAAATGTGTCCAAAATGGCTCAAAATGGATCCAGGATAACTCAAAATTGGTCGAAAATGGCTCAAAATAGTCTTATATGAGTCAAAAATGGCTTAAAACGGCCCAAAGTGACTCTAAATGGCTTTAAAATAGGTCCAAAATATGTCTGAAATGGATCAAAATGTGTCTAAACGGCTCCGTCTGAATTGGCGGGAAATTCAAATTTTTCATATAATTCAAAGAATTTATTGGAAAAAATGAAAGAAATAAGAAAAAAAAATCGAATCGGTAGAAAGAAGAGATCATATGAAAAAGAGATGCATACACGAAAAAAATACGAATTTTCGAAACATTAAGACAAAAATTGAGCAAAGAATGGCAGGAAAAATGGTCTAAAACGGCTGAAAATTGACCGAAATTGAGTGAAAAGGGGCCTCGAATAGCCAAAAAATATCAAAATTGGCGGGAAATTCAAGAAGTCAGGAATCCCCTAACCCAACAGTACTCTCCTCATAATTGGCTCGATTTCCTCTTCGGATTCAGAAGATGTGTCGTACGGTACTGACGGAATTCCGGCGGAGCATCTCGCAGAGCACAAGAACTGCATTAAAGGCACACGATACTTTCCACAGAAGTCCACAAATTTCACATGCTCCACACGAGCATCGAAATAGACGCCTTTGCATTCCGGGTTGACACATTGACACGCGGAATTTAGGTATTCGATGATATCGCTGAAAATGAGGAAGTTGGGGTTACGGTATTTTGGATACTGTACTTCTAGTCTCAAGATATAAGTTCCTAAACGGGATTACTGTATTTTGGGCAATGTACTTCTAAAGATCCCAAGATCCGCTAGTTCCTAAATTTTGATTCCTTGAAAATTGGATTACTGTATCTCTAGTCAATCCTGCCTATGGTATTTTGGATACTGTAACTTCAATTTTGGTTACTGTGCTTCCAGTCTCAAAATCCTAGTTCCAGAATGGTATTTTGAATACTGTAGTTTACTGTACGTCTAGTGGTTTCTTACTGTACGTCTAGTGGTTTCCACAAAATGGGATTACTGTACTTTGAGTACAGTACTATGATCAAGGCTACTGTAGGTTTCAACACCTAATGTGTACTGTGATCAAGGCTAAACGACGGCCAATTGGATCAAATTTTGAAGCAATCACGTGAAGTTAAGAAAAGAAGAAAACGGGTGCGAGAAACCCACCCTGATAAATAGGGTCTAGTTTTTGAAGGTTACTGTAGAAGAATGCTTGCTGATCGAAGATGAGCAATCTTCGAGATTCGGATATTGTGGAGCAAAATTATTTGGAATTTCGGAATTTCAAGAATTCCGATTCATAAGATTCAGAATTTTGGAACTTTCAAACTACAAAATTTCCAAGACCTCAGAAAGTCCAAAAATTCAAAAAAAAAAGTCAACTTACGTTGGAATAAATTCAACCATCTCTGGAGTCATATTCTGCCGGACAATCCTCCCGGTTAGCTCTTTAAGCGACGGCGGACACAAATCCATATTATGAACGAACGAATGGACAAGAGGATTATTACGCAGGGACAGCTGTTGAAGACGTCGGAGATTCAGAATATCCGTTGGCAGAGTTCGAAGCTTGTTGTTGTGAAGAGACAGTGTCTCGAGCCAGTTTAAGTCTCCCAAAGTAGATGGAATTGTCTCCAAAATATTATCACACAGTCCCAGATTCTCCAAATTCTCGAGGGTACCAATTGAAGCGGGAATCTCACGAAGACGATTGCCACCGAAGTACAGGACGGTCAATCTGAAAGAATCGGGTTTTAAACTTGGACATAGCCGATGGAGTGCAGCTCATAACATCTTGAAAAATCCAAAATTTCGAATTAATCCAAATTGGAAAATTTAGAGATCCAAGAGTGTTTCAAAATGATACTAAACATGACCTTCTTAAATATCTGAAGTTTTCAAAAACTTCGAAATTTCAGACAAATCGAGTTTGGATTCATTTTGAAGCGCTCAACAAGCTCTATACTTTCCAATTTAGTGCAGTCGCATTTTTTGAATTTGAGAAAAGTTATGGATCAAAATTTATCAGCTTAACATTTTGGGTTCAAGCCAGACTTGGGATCCATAACTCCTCCAAAAATCGAAAATATCAAATTATTTCAATTGGAACGTATAGAACTCGATGAGCTCTCTCAAACGATACTAAACATGGATGTCTTGAAATTCTGAATTTTTCTGAAAATTTAAAAATCCAGACAAGTCGAGTTTGGTATCATTTTGAAGCGCTTTTCAAGTTCTATGTTTTCCATTTCGATCCGATTTGAAGTTTCAATTTTGAAGAAAGTTATAAGTCTTCGAAATTACAGTTTTGGATAAAAAACTGCTCCGAAAGCAGACCACACTTACGAAGTCAAAACGGAAATATTGGATGGACACGAGTCGATATAATTTCCACCCAAATGCAGAGTCTTCAGTTTTCTGAGGGTTAGAACAACTGGTGGGAAGTATTCCAGACGATTTCCAGATAAATACAAATGTTCCATATTCTCCAAAAGTTGCATTCCCTTTGGAAGGTGTTCCAGGAGGTTGTTGCGAGCGATGAGGGTTCTGGAATAATTTGGAGATCAGAAATTGTCGATTTTTGATGTAAAATTGGCATTTTGGGCTCTAAAATTAGCCAATTTGAGCCTTCAAAACGGCCAATTTGAGCCCGAAGAATCCCCCAAAAAAATGGGTCCACAAAACTCACGTCAAACTTCTCAACGTCCCAATTTCTTCTGGAAGTGCTGAAAGTGAATTGAATGAGACATCCAAAAACGAGACATTCGAGAAAGTTTGCAGCCCGCGAAGGACCACAAATGAGTTATGAGTCAAATCCAATTTTCGGATGTTCTGTGGATCGTATTGCTCAACTGGCTGCTCGACATGATATCGAATCGGAATCTCCTCGAGATTGTAGTCGTGGAGGACGAGCTCGTCGAGTTTTTGGGACCTGGAAAAAGGAGGAATTGATTGAGATTGTCTTGGAGCAAGGAGTCGAAAATTTGGAATTTTCAGAAAATCAAAATTTTTAGAATTCAGAATTTTTAGAATCTTCTGAAATACACATTTTTCTTGAAAATGGAAAAATCGCTCTAAAATCTGTTCTAGAAGGTCTTAAGCGATGACATCGGTACCATTGGAATCAGCAGGAAATTCTGAATCCAACGAGTCGAATTTCTGGAAATTCTGAAATTTGAAATTCAAAATTTCCAGAATCTTCTGAAAATCGAATCCAGTCAAAATCGGTATGGTTAGAATCAGCATAAAATTTGGAACAAGTCCAATTTTTCTGAAATCCCGATTCTTCAAAATTAAGGGTAATTATCCACCTCAATAGCGACTAAAAAGTTTATTAGTCAACTGATTAAAATTACACAAAAAACTAATCACTCGTCCTTATCACCTTTTTTTTCAACATGTTCCTAATCAGTGTTGTAAAACTGGGTAATAGGAATTGTACTCTAAAATATTCCTAATTCGATGGCGGCGACGAGAGACTTGGAGACGCAGAGAAAATTGGAAAAAGAAGAAGAAGACAAAGAGATGACTATCTGGTTTTACTCCTATAGCATCGTGTGACATATAGATTCTTTGAAAAATTTCAAAAAAAACGAACCCATTTGGATACATATTGGCATCGGTACGACGTGTAGGCCAAGCGGGGAGGAAGACAGAAGACGTTGAAGGAGTTCCAGACATTTTGTGATTCTAGAAGATTCTGAAAATTCAAGATCTAGAAAAATCGAGCGAAATAGACGATTTGGTTCAGGAGACGTTAAAAATGGAATTTTGAAGAACTAGAAGAATCAGAAGACGTCAAAAAGGACACATTTCTGCAAAAGAGACGACTCATAGGAGAAAGAAAAAGGATGATAATTTGAAGAAGAAGAAGAAGAAGAATAGGAGGAGGAGGTGGAGCGAGGGAATCTCCCCTGTCTTCTTCTTTTTATAAGAGAAGAGAGTGAGAGACGCAGACAGACAGAGAGAAGAGACAACTGGTGATGATAATGATGACAATTAGAAGACAAGGTGGGGGAAGACCACCTCTCGCTGTATCATAGTACGATTTTTTGATTTGAATGTGAATTTTGGATTCAAAATTTGGAAATTTCGGATTCTAGGACTTCGGAGTCAGCTGGAAAGGCGGTACAGATACCTAGATGAAATACGATTTTCCCGAAAATTTGACTCAAAATTTTGAAATTTCCAAAATTTCAACATTTGGATTTAATCGAAACATGAAGGATATCAAAACCTGAATCTCAAGATTTTAAGATCAGATGTCCCCAGCAAAAAATCTCATCTCAACACATCGACTAGGCTTTAGGCATCGTTTCGCGGCTGATGCAATTGGTTGAGGACATGAGATAAGACACGTGAACACGGCGAGAAGAGATGAAGACATAGAAGAGGAGGAGTGTGAAGTGACCCAGAAAATTTGGATTTTGAAGGTACTTTAATGGCCCAGAACATTGTCGAAAATTCCCTAATAGTCGCTGCTAAAGGGTTCAAAATAAGCCTAAACAGCTGAATATTGGAATATGGACATCAGGACACGCCGACACACTGAATGACTCTATAAGTTGTTCTAGAAGATTTTGAGCGACAAAATCAGTATAATTGGAATCAGCATGGAATTTTGAATCTAGTGAATTCAAATTTTCAAAGTTCGAAATTTTTTGAATCTTCTGAAACTTTATTTTTCCCTGAAAATGGAAAAATGACTCTAAAATTTGTTCTAGGAAGTTCTGAGCGATGAAATTGGCACCATTGGAATCAGCAGAAAATTCTGAATTTTTTAAATTCAAATTCTTAAAATCCAGATTCCCCATTTTCCAGAAAACGGAATTTCAAGATTTCCTGTTCGATTTTGATTTAATAGAGTTTCATGCAGTTGGTCCGAAATCAGTCCAAGATCCTGTTTGAAATTACCGAAGTTTGACTGGAAACTCGCCGAAATAGGTCTAAAAGGAACATGCAAAGTAGCCTAGTACAAAAATGGTTACAGTAGTCACATGAAAATGGCTTAAAATGGGCCAAAATCGACCTGAAAATGATCCGAAATCTAACTGAAAAATAGTCCGAATTTAGTCCAAAACGACCGCAACATGGTCCAACGCAAACATCTGTAGTCGAAAAATGGCTTAAAATGGTCCAAAATTAGCGATGAACACATTTAGAGGACATCCGGATGTGCAGACACACAGACAACATACAGAAAACGAAAATCCAGACATTTCCAGAAGCACTTGACGCAACTTCGATTTCAAAAAATCAGTGTGTCTGTGTGTCCGGATGTCTCCTTAAAAAACGACCACCAGGAAATTCCTGCTGTTTTTGACGTCTGAAAAGTTACTGTGTGTTTTCGACACTGAATTCCAGCCAAGAAGAAGAAAAAACCTGACCACCTCTGATTAAAAAAAAACTGTCAAATCGAATGATAAGGAGGAGAAGGGAAGAGATGTAACTTTTCGTCCCCCGTCTTCTTCCTAATTCGTACACTTGATTGCAATGGACAGCCCTAGGGGTAAACTATAAACGTTCTTTGAACTAGACTTTGTTCCCGAGGCAGATGAAGAAGAAGAAGAAGAAGAAGGCGTTGGAGAAGAAGAAGAAGAATACCTTCTTCTTCTTCTTCTTCTTCTTCTTCGTTTTTGATGGTTATCAGGCTATTGGAATCGAGAAAAGAAACGAAGGAAGCGGAAAAAGGGGGGGAGAGACAAAAGCTTTGAATATAGAAAACAGCTGTTTGGTCTCCTTTGATTCTTCTTGAAAGTCACAAAAGACAAGAAAAAAATGTGTCATCTGACTGGGTCTAAACGGAAAACATATGAAAAGTCGGTTTGGTTCCAAAAAATTGGGGTCTTGTCATATGTTCTCTATCTTTTTGATCTGCTTGTTTTCAATGGACAAAGTCGACATCCTCAAAGAATATCAATTTTCGCGAAAAATTGGCTTACAGTAACCCTGCTGTTTCACAGTATGCACTACTGTAGCTTCTACAGGACCAAACGAGGATTTAGCTACTACAGTAATCCAGGAGTACTCTAGCATCATTACGATCTAGAGGAGACATTCAGAAGATCAGAAGAATCCATTTTCTGCAAGAAAAATTGGAATAGATCAATGGACTCAGGATGTTCTTTAGAACGGTCGGCCGACCAGTCGCCACGGCCGAAAAGATAGGAACAAAAGAAGGATATTGTTCCTATTATTTGGTACAAATTGAAGACACAAGACAAAGGAACCACAAACAGACACGAAACGACGTCATTTTGTAGTCTGTACACATGGGATTCCCCCTATTTGTCAGCATTTTTGTATTAGATTACTGTAGGTTGTAGTCTGAAGTCTTATGACTGAAGGTTACTGTACACAACCAGGATTCAGACACTTCCAACAGGAGGAATAGCAACGTGATAGTTACTGTAGATGTGACAGGATTGAATCTAGCTACAGTAATCCAAGGTGTAGTCTAGCATAAACATGAGCTAGCAAGGGACCTTAATTACGATGATCCAGTCAGTAACTACAGTAATTCATGAGTACTGTATCTTGTCTAAGAGTTGAATACAGTAATTCTAGGATTCCAGGATAATGCAAAGAAACTACTGTAGATCCCTAACTACAGTAATGATTATGCAGGAGTACTGTATCCTTACCAGGGTCTAACTACAGCAATTCTGAGATTCTAAGCTGAACAAGTGCAGGATACATTAGGAGGGTTACTGTAGGTCTCCGCACTCGCTAAGCAATCCTGCGTGTCCTCTGGCCTCTCTGGCCGAATTTTTTCCTAGGCCACCCCAATTGATAGCCACTGATTGTGCTCTTATCACTGGTTGCAAATTTTTTTCAATTTGAAAAATGCAAAAAATGCTTTCCGATGGCTTATGCAATAATCAGAAGAACGGGAATCATCATCTCTTGATGACGTCTTCTTTCATTTTCTCCCCCAATTTGTGACAGTGATCTTTCTCTTTTAATTATAATTGTCATCTTTTTTTTTTAGAATTCAGAAGACACCTGACGGAGAGGGGCACGTCTTCTGACTTCTATTTAGTGAAAGGGAGATGAAAGGGTACTACAGTAATCCTCCTGAATAAGCCAAGTGTCTTAGGATTACTGTAGTTGGACCCTGGACCCTGGCGAAGATACAGTACCGCAGGGTTACTGTAGTAAGAGCCCTACAGTAATCCAATTGCTCCATTCCTCGGAATTGGATCCTGAAGAAGCTACAGTACTCATTGATTACAGTAGTTAGAAATAGCTATAGTAGTCCTATTCCTAGTTCATGATGATGCTAGAATACTCTTGGATTACTGTGGTTCGAGATCTGAAAGAGTACTGTAACTTCCTGAAAACGCTACAGTACGCATGGGTTACTACAGTTATCCTTACACTTTTCTGTAACTTGGCCCGTCCTACCGTAATCCTACTTTGCATCCTGAAAGGAATACTGTAGAAAAAGGGTTAACTCAAAATGACAAGGATTACTGTAGAATAAAAATTTGATTTTTCAAATTTCAAGAATTACTGTGGCTCCCGAAAGAAGCATGTGCTTCTTGTTGAATGTCCTTGGTGTACCTCTGAAAGGGTTACTGTAGATGTTTGAGCATTCAAGAGTTGCCGGATTACTGTAAAATTATTGAAGTTAGCTCAAAAAAAAACTGGATTACTGTAGCCAAATTTTTCAGGGAAGATTACAGTAGATTTTACTGTATTTTTGCAGGTAAATGGAATTCGGGCGGAACGAAGCTATATGCGTCAAGTGTGCGCCTACGTTCAACAAGACGATTGTTTCATTGGAAGTCTTACGGTAGAGGAACACTTGAAATTCATGGCAAAACTCAAAATGGGCAATGAGCACGGATCAGAGGAACAGCAGAGACGGGTGAAAAGTGTCATGAGAGATGTGAGTGTGGATTACTGTAGATTTCGGAAAATAGTGATGTTTGAAATTGGCTAGAATAGCCTAAAAATTGTCCCAAGAATCGCTTAAAATAGTCTAAAAAACTCTAAAATAGGCCAAAAATCACGAGAAGTTAGCTGAAAATGACCCAGAAATTTTTACAATCGCTTGGTACAAAAATCGGAATGCAAGGATCAAAATGGGCGGAGTTATAGCCATTTGAGTATTTTCATTTGTAACTCCGCCCATTTTGATCCCAGAATCCTGATTTTTGTACTAAACAAAATGAAATTCAGTTTTGAAAAAGCTTATGTTGTTTGAAATCGAATTTCAAATCGATTGATACAAAATCCGGATCTCTGGGATCAAAATGGGCGGAGCTAAGGCTACGCGAATGTTTTCGGGTCATAACTCCGCCCATTTTTGTACCAGTCGATCTGAAATTTGATTTTGAGTATTATGGTCTTATGTAAAATGAAATTTCTAATAGATTGATACAAAACGCAGGTCTTTAGGATCATAATGGGCGGAGCTTCGCTTGAAAACACTCTAATGATCATAACTTCGTCAATTTTGATCCAAAATTGATCATTTTGATATCATTCGATCAAAAATTAAATCGAAAATAACATGATCTTATGTAAAATGAAATTTCTAGTCGATTCGTACAAAAACGAGACTTCTAGGATCAAAATGGGCGGAGCTAAGACTTACCGAAGTTTTTCAGTGATAACTCCGCCCATTTTGATCCTATAATTATGATTTTTGTGAAAATCGATTTTATATTGAATTTTACATAATCTGGTGCGATCTAAAATCAAAATTCCAATCGATTGGTACAATTTTCATCGATATTGGATCAAAATGGACGGAGTTAACGCTATTTGAATGTTTTTAAGATATAACTCCGCCCATTTTGATCCAAAATCTAACAGTTTGGAATTAATTGAATAGAATTTTGATTTTAAGTCACACAAGCTGTTGGTACAAAATCCAGACCTCTAGAATCAAAATGGGCGGAGCTAGGCTCGAAAACACTCAAGTTATCCTAACTCCGCCCATTTTGATCAAAACTTGATTAATCTTGTACCAATCGATTTGAAATTGAAGTTCACACAAGCTCATGTTAAACAACATCAAATTCCGAACTGATTGGTGCAAAATTCATCGATTTTGGATCAAAATGGGCGGAGTTAAGGCAATCCGAAAGTTTTTGAGTCATAACTCCGCCCATTTTGATCAAGATTAATTATTTTTGTACCAATCGACTTAGAAATTGATGAATTCTGCACCAGTCGGATGAAAATGAATTTCTTTATCGATTGATACAAAATCCGGATCTCTGGGATCAAAATGGGCGGAGTTAAGGCTATCCGAATGATTTTGAGTCATAACTCCGCCCATTTTGGGCCTGCAATTCTCATTTTTGTATCACTCGAATTGAAATTGAAATTTCAGTGTATCGATACAAAAATCAATGAGATCAAAGTGGGCGGAGTCAAGACGCTCATTTTCAGCCATTTGTTTTCAGTAGATTTTCGACAATTTTAAGCCAATTTTTGGTAATTTTAGATCGATTTTACAGTCATTTTTTGGCCGATTTTCAACTGATTTCTCTGCAGCTAGGCCTTGAAAAAATCGCCGACTCGATCATCGGCACCCGCACACGAAAAGGCATCTCAGGAGGTGAGAAGAAGCGTCTCGCGTTCGCTTCGGAGATTCTGACGTCTCCGCCGATTCTGATTTGCGATGAGCCGACGTCTGGATTGGATTCATTTCTTGCCTATCAGGTGGTTTGCGTTTTGAAGAAATTAGCGGCTACACGGAATATGACGATTCTTCTGTCGATTCATCAACCATCCAGTCAGGTTTTTCAACAGTTTGATAGGTAAGGGGGACTAGTTTTGGAAGTTTCTAGGTCACCAGTGAATGCCTAGCTGGCAGTCATTGAAAGGCAAAAATTTGAAATTGAAAATCGATTGGTACAAAAATCAGAATCCTATGATCAAAATGGGCGGAGCTATGACCTAAAAATTTCGGATAATTATAACTCCTCTCATTTTGATCCTAGAATGCTGCTTTTTGTACCAATCGATTGGTAATTCAGTTTTACATAACATCATTCTATAGGCTATCAAACAACTTATGAGCGATTGATCCGAAATTTCTAGGGTTTAGATCACAATGGGCGGAGTTAGGGTCCAAAAATCGAAATTTAGGAATTTCGATGTTTTTTTCGACATTTCAGTGCTTGTCGCAGATTTTTTGTCTGGGTCTTCTGTAAATTTCGATTTCAAATCGATTGGTACAAAAGTCATCGATTTTTGATCAAAATGGGCGGAGTTAGGACCATTTGACTGTTTTTAGTGTGTAGCTCCGCCCATTTTGATCGTAAAATGATGATTTTTTACTAATCCACTTTACATGAAGGCTGTTAGATTCCAATTGAATTATCTATCGATTGGTGCAAAAATCAGCGATTTAGGATCAAAATGGGCGGAGTAAGGTGAATTTTTACTTGTTGGCTTTCAAATCCGCCCATGTTGATTCTAGAAATTTCATTTTTGTACCAATCGATTGAAAATTGATACGAGTTTTTGAAAAATGAAATTTTCAATCGATTGATACAAAAATCACAATTGTAAGATCAAAATGGGCGGAGTTATGCCAATTTATGTCTTTTTGGCTTTTAGCTCCGCCCATTTTGATCCTAGAAACTTAATTTTTGTACTAATCGATCAGAAAATTAATTCTAAATCAATAAACCACTGTAACATGCAATTCAAAATCAATTGATTCGAAAATTATCGATTTTGGATCAAAATGGGCGGAGCTATAATTTTCGAAACCATAACTCCGCCCATTTTGATTCAAATTTCATTTTTCAAAATTTCCAAGCCATCTACAGTAATCTTCTTCCAGTGTCTACATGATGGTCAACGGAACAGTGGCATTCTGTGGTCCCCAGATGGCCGCGGAGAAAATGTGGGCGGAGCTTAGCCTGCCGATTCCAATGAATTTCAATCCGTCGGATCACTATCTGGCGACGATGTCAGTCAAAGACGCGAAGGAGGAGATTTCAAAAATGGGACAAATTCAAAAAATTTGCACGAAATTCAAATATTCGGAGCTGGGAAAAGAGGTTTTCAAGGAGTCGAGTGGACGGGATGTCGATGAAAGTGAGAATTGCTCAAATTTTGGTTGTTTTTGGAAATTTCGAACTGCAACCTTCATATCATTGCTCAGCTCGTTGAGAGCTTTAAAATGAGCCTAAACACGACTAGATTCAGAATTTTTAAAGGGTTACTGTAGTTTTCGTGGTGAGACCCAATTTTCTTCAATTTTGAGCTAATATGGTCGTGTTTGGGCTCATTTTGAAGCATTTTTTGCGCTGATTACGGTTATTGGTGTATAAATAACTATTTACAGCGTTTTTCAGCTCTTTTCAGTCTTTTTTTTTCTAGGAGACCGTGATGGTTCCAAAATTCCGAAAATTTTAAAAATTCTGAAATTTGAAAATAATCTTTAAAACTCAGAAAACTTAAGTTTTGAAAAATCCAAAAATTCCAAAACTCTGAAATTTGAAAATCCTAAAATTTTGAAAATCTTATAATTCTGAAAATTTCAAAAATTCAAAAATTCAAAAATTCTGGAAACTCAAAAATCCTGAAATTCCTATCTTTATTATCAAAATTATTATTAAATTTGTTGAAATTCTAAAACTTTTCAAAAATTGAAAAATCTAAAAATTTCCAAAATCGAAAATTCGAAAACTTTAGAAATTCTAAAATTTGACAATAATTTTTGAAAGTTTCGAAATTCGAGAAAAATCAAAAAATGCTGAAAATCCAAAAAATCTGAATTCTCTGAAAATTGAATTTTAAAATTCCAAAAAAAAAGCCCTTTAATCTATTCGGAAGTTCAAAATTGCTAAAAATTTGAATGTTTGAAAATTTGAAAATTCGAAAAAAGTACCAAAAAAATTAAAAAATCACAAAAATGCAAAAATTCAGTCAAATTTTAGAATTTTAGAATTTTTTTAAATTTTTAAATTTTCGAATTTCAGAATATTTGAGTTTCAGAATTTTTGAATTTTCGAATTTCAGAATATTTGAGTTCCAGAATTTTTGAATTTTCGAATTTCGGAATATTTGAGTTTCAGAATTTTCGAATTTCAGAATATTTGAGTTTCAGAATTTTCGAATTTCAGAATATTTGAGTTTCAGAATTTTCGAATTTCAGAATATTTGAGTTTCAGAATTTTCGAATTTCAGAATATTTGAGTTTCAGAATTTTCGAATTTCAGAATATTTGAGTTTCAGAATTTTCGAATTTTCGAATTTCAGAATTTTTGAGTTTCAGAATTTTTAAATTTTCTAATTTCAGAATTTTTGAGTTTCAGAATTTTTGAATTTTCGAATTTTTATATAGCCATTTTCAGACTTTTTCAGCCATTTTTCCAATTTTTTCCAGGAGACCGTGCGTATTCCGAAGACTGGCGTCGTCGTTACGCCTCAAACTTCGGCCGCCCGTCGTTCGGTGCCTCATTCCTCCAACAAATCAGTGCTCTGACTTGGAGAGCCTCAAAGACGGTGCTCCGCGAGCCGACACTATTCAAAGTGCAAATATTTCAATCGATAATTATCGCAGTGCTGACTGGACTGATTTATACGAACAATAGTCCGATTGATCAGCAGAAGATCATGAATATCAATGGATCACTCTATCAAATGGTCTCCAATATGGCATTTATGTTTCAATTCTCCGTGGTTCATGTGGGTTTTCTTTTTAGGATTGAAAGTATTAATTTCAGCGATTTTGGATCAAAATGGGCGGAGTTATAACCATTTTAGTGCTTATGATCGTAACTCCGCCCATTTTGATCTAAAATCAACAATTTTTGCATCGATCGCTTCGGAATTTGATTTTTAATAACATGCAAAATTAAATTTCCGTTCGATTGGTTTAAAAATGATCGATTTTAGTGTGTATGACCATAACAAAACCCATTTTGGTCCAAAATTGCCAAATTTTGCACGAATCGATTAAGAATCTTCTTTGAGCTTGTGTAAAATTTATATTCACATCGATTGATGTACAAATCAGCGATTTCAGATAAAAATGGGCGGAGTTATATCAATTTTAGTGTTTATGACCATAACTCCGCCCCTTTTGGTCCAAAATCGACAAATTTTGTACCAATCGACTGGGAATCTTTTTTAAGCTAGTGTGAAATTAAATATCACATCGATTGATACAAAAATCAAGTATATAAGATCAAAATGGGAGGAGTTATACCAATTTTTGTGTTTTTGAGCATAACTCCGCCCATTTTGATCAAAAATCGGAAATTTTCGAAATTTCAGTCGTTTCCAGATAACTTTCAGAAAGTTTTCTAGAATTCTACAAATCTGAAATTGTGGAAAAAGCCGAAAATCATATTTTGAAAAGTTTATTTATTGAAAAAATCTTTTCAAAAAAATTTTTCGAAAATTTTTTTATTTTTTGCAAGTTTTGAAATGTCTGGAAATTTTCCGATTTTCCATTTTCAGCCAATTCATCACTTTAAATTTTCAGCACTTCTGTCTGGAAATGCCCACATTCACTCGTGAAACATCGTCGCGTCTCTACCGTGTCTCCGCCTACTTCATCTCGAAAAATCTGGCCGAACTTCCCTCGTACACTATCTCGGCCATCATTTTCACATCGATTTTATATTGGATGTCCGGCCTGATTCCGCTGATTGACTCGTTTTTAATCTACGTTTTCGTTGGAATTCTAGTTCAAAACATTGCGATTTCCATCGGTTACATGTTCAGCTGTATATTCGGAACTGTCAATTTGGCGGTGGCCGTTATGCCCATTTTCGTCGTCCCCATGATGGCGTTTGGAGGATTTTTCATCAATCAAGACACCCTACAATGGTACTTTGTGCCTCTGAAATACCTGTCATACTTTGGATACGGATATGAAGCGATTGCGATTGGACAGTGGACTAATGTGGAGGAGATACCGGGTCAGTTGAAGATTCGCTATCGATTGGTACAAAAATCTGCGATTTTGGATCAAAATAGGCGGAGTTATTTTAGTGTTTTAAACCTAGCTCCGCCCATTTTTGTCCTAGAGATTGTATTTTTGTACCAATCGATAGGGAATTGAATGTTTATGAGTAGAGATTGAATTCCAAGATGATTCGTAAAAAAACTAGGTCTCTAGGATCAAAATGGGCGGAACTAGGGGGCATTTGAGCCTAACTCCGCCCATTTTGATCCGAAATCGCTGAATTTGATACCAAATGAATTGAAAGCTGAATTTCAAAAAACTTCAAAATTGTATTCCAAAACAATTGTTACAAAAGTCTGTAATTTGGATCAAATTGGGCGGAGTTATCATCCCAAAGTGTTTGGATAGTCATAACTCCGCCCAATTTGATCAGAAATCGTTGATTGTTGTGTCAATCGAGTGGAAATTGCATTTTCCATGTTGTGTATAATATCAGCAAGAAGATTGCAAGTTGATTTGTGCAAAAATTATCGATTTTGGATCAAAATAGGCGGAGTTACGTTATCTTAGATCATAACTCGGCCCATTTTGATCCTAGAGGTCTGGTTTTCATATCAATCAATTGGAAGTGGAATTTTGAACGATTCCATATTACTCGCATTTTAATTTGCTACGGATTAGTGCAAAATTCAGAGATTTTGGATCAAAATGGGCGGGGCTAGGGGCATTTGACTGCTTTCAAGCATAGCTCCGCACATTTTGATTCAAAACCGATTATTTTTGCATCAATCGAATAAAAATTGAGTTTTATACAAACTCAAACTACTCACGATTCAGTTCTCTATTGATTGGTACAAAAATCAGCGATTTTGGATCAAAATGGGCGGAGTTATGACCATT